GTGTCATATTTGTTTCTTGTTTATCCAAAAAATGCCCTCCACTTTAGAGATACCCTTTTTCCTTCATTTGTTGTTAGAGAGAGAGAGAGGGAATATTCTGGTCCACAAAATATTCCCCATCTTCCTTGTATAAAACCCTTGCCCCACAAGGGCAAGGAGGGGCATTTGTGAAGAGCATCAGAGCATTTCTCGTGTTTGAGCGAGCGTTAAGGGAAACATCCCTCCTTCCCCCAACATTGCCTGTCCAACTACTAAATCTCTACATAAATTTCATCTCTCTATGGATGTGGCATGATAGAAGAAAAGTGTAGTGATCTATAAACTCACTTCTCTCTCTCTTTATAGGACTCACACAAATGAGTGCAAAAGAGCCATCCAGGCAAGTTTCTTATCTCAAGTCTGATATTCATTTTGCTAGAGTTTATATTACAAAACAGACAAATAATAATATCAATCATTGATTCTGATTTCCCATCCCTACACAATGCATTAATGAAGCTAAGAACTATTATTTCCCTCAAAAAGGCCTGGAAGAACCAAAGTGAAGCACCAACTGCTGGTTGGTTTTTTTTTTTTTTTCCTAGCAGCAAGGTTGTTTTTTTATAGAGATGAATTGATCTGGAATCCCAGATTTTCCTACAGACACAATCAAGGCTGCATAAGGAATGTTGTGTAAGGGATCAAAGCATAGACTTTGGCACTTCTATCACCGATTTAAAGGTATATAGCCATTTCTCCAAATGATCTTTACCACTTGTTAAATTTAGTTGCATTGTAGGAGGCTACAGAAAGAAACTTCAAACCATTACCATGTCAAAAGCAATGACTTCACTTTCACTCAATGTTTCTCAATGCCTTTTTATAAAATGTAATGGATAAGCACCTGTCTGTAGAAACTTTGAAAGCTAAACCACATTCCCAGCAAATTAAAACCTACTTTAATCTCTCTGATAAAGGGTAAACCAAAATAATTGCACTCTTTCCAAAAAATATACTCTTTTCTTGTAAATCAAGTCATTGTTCTTCTCCTTGGTGGAGCACTTGTTTCTCTAAATACATACAAACTTTACACTATACTTAACAATTGCTTTATGCTTGAATGTGAGTGGACAATTTTTTTTCTCATATAGTGTAGTGGAGAATCCTCTAAAGAATAATTTCCAAAGTTTGAGTAAAATGAGCTTCCATTTCATGTATAGACTCAACACAATTTTTGCAAATGAGAAATATAAAAGAGTTACTTTTTATTAATAATTATGAAAAATTAAGACATGATACTAACATAAGAATGAGAAACAAATGTAAAAGGATTTAATAGGTGAATTAGATTTTTTTTTACTTAATAAATCTATATGCCAAAAGACATTTCAGAGAAACTACACAATGAAACTTCAAGTTCGACACAAATATATGGGTTTGTAAAGTAGAGATGTATACTAGCTGGGATTCTAGCTCCACTGGAAAATATAAATTAAATAAATATGAAACAATTCTAGAATAAAACTTAATTTTTTTTAGCAAAAGTTTTAGTGATTCCTTTAGATATTACAATAATTTTTTAACTTAATAGTTTTAAATAGTTTATAGTATAGTTGTAAAACTTTATATAAGTAATGGAGAGAGTAGTTTTTAGAATAATGTTTAGTGCTAATAAGTTTAAAGCATATTAAGAGCATAAAAACAAGACTAATACTATTTTAAACCTTTTATGAGAAATAAGAAAACTGAATAAACCGAATCTAAAATATATAACTGGGAATACTATACTTCTTCACTATCCTTTTATTTAAAGTTTCCAATTGAATGATACACTTTAACTATGTATTTTGAAATAATAAGATCCCCCATCACTCATCTCTTCAATATTATCACCCATGGATGCAAAGGTTAATACACTATTGTAATTTCTTTTATATTCCTTAAAGTTTTTACAAAGATATTTTCTTTCAGTAAATCACGAATTAGTGCAAAAAAATCTAAATTTTCTGTGAAAGAGACACGACCACCATGACAATATTAAGACTAAGTTTTTGTGTGAAAAAGAAAAGCAATACAATGCACACAATATTTTTCCATATTGTAATCTCCTTCACAAACATCATTAAGATTTATGTTGATACAATTTTTGAATTTAAATTAGTTTTCTCATTAACAATCATTTCCTGCTCATTGTTCTAATAATATCAGTGCTTCCATTTAGAAATAAATTAACTTTTTTTCACTTTCAGTTCTGGACCATTATTGTTGTGAGGAAAATGATGAATGTATAAAACCAAATACCTAATACACACAAAAGCTTTAATGACCAAACAACTAATAGTCATGTATAGACAATTTTTAAGTAAGCTTATAGGCAACTTTATAGACAATTGAATAAACAAGTGAGTAAGCAAGTGATATTAATAAATAAGATTGGATGATAAGGATCATTAATTTCCCAAATTTAATAAAAGTCTTATGGTGTTTAAAATTTTTTTTTGTGACTAGTCTTACCACAAATATATGGGATTTTGGAAATAATAGTATTTTTTATTCATATATTATTTATTTTATTAGTTTTTCTTTATATATATATATGTGTGTGTGTGTCTATATGTATATATATATGTATATATATGTGTATGTATATATATATATAGATATACATACATTTACATTTGTACATCTGTGGCATTGATTTTTTTCATATGTAAGAACATATAACTCATCTTGGCTACACAATTAATTCAATGGAGAAATTCATTTTCTTGAGAATTATAAGAGTACCAAAGAAACATCACTGGAGAGGACACGTAGGAAGTCCCTGCGTGAAATCCCTCGTCTATGCCAAGTTCTTCGACAGCAAGGCTTTGATCCGTGCTAAGCCACCAGCGTTTGAGAAGAAAACCATGCCTAGTGGCGCTGGAAGTTATCTGCGCTTCGTCGATCCTCCTGGTCAGATGACACAGCAGCAGGCTTGGCTTGGAGCTCGCAGCACTAGAAAGCAGCTGCTTGGCGGTCTCGAACAGCGCGGGGAGCGCCTCTTCAACGTAAGTCACGTCTGTTCCAAAGATGAACTCGAATCCTCCGGAGAAACGGCCTAGAACCGAGGAGATCTCGCCACAGTCACCCCATTGCAGCCTCTGGCAGGATATCTTGTCCACTGGGAAAGTTTGAGCGTTGGCTTGGATGTTTTGCTGGAGCAAGTCGAGAGCTTGAGTGTCCGCGTCCGTGGTGAGGACATGGCTTGCGGAGAGCGACGCTAGCAACGAGCAGATGCCGACGCATCCACTGCCGAGTTCTAGCACGGTCTTGTTTCGGAGAAGAGATGGAAATCGTAGCAGCAGCTGGGACATTGCCAGGGCAGATTCCCACAGCATTAGTCCTGTGCTCTTGCATGTGTGCTGGTGGCTGCGGGATATCGACTTTGCAACGATACGATAGTCCCCAAGCTCGACCGCAGTCTCCTGGAACGAGAAACTAGATAGTACCACTTTTGATTCGAGTGTTACGAACCAACCTCAGGAACTGGTGCCTCTATGAACAAGTCCTCTCCCAGGCCATCTAGCGAGCACGATGCATCTTCTCCAAGTTCTTCTTTGAGAACAAAGGCGCCTTGAATCCATTTCCTGAAAGAGAAGTACACGAACAAGTTCAAGTATCGTCGTAGGAAAGAAAGAGAGCACTGTGAAACCTGTCCATAGCAAGGCCCTTGGATCGGTTCTCCACGACCTTGCAAACGACGTCGAGCGCCTCCACTGCGAAGCCTTCTTTCATAAAGAGCTCGGAGAGGAAGTCTTCGGAAAAATAAAACGCGCGCTAAAGCCTCATGTCAGATGCGTGCAAAAAAAAATCGATATCAATGTTAGCATACCGTGCCATCTCCACGCACGAAAAAATTCTCACTAATCTGCTGGTCCTTCTTTCTGAATCTTTCCTGCATTCAAGAAGGATATCAGTGTCTCCCAAGCCAAACTAGTTCCAGGCGCTCACCTCGGACAGATCTCCTACAGCATAATCCCTGAAAAGAACATGTCCACCAGGCTGCACAGCACTGTGTCAAAAACTTCACGTTTCAAGTTTTATCGACCTTGAGCACTCTCTTGATGTTTGCCAAGACACCAGACATTCGATCCGGAGATACTGCTGAAAGCATAAACACCTGCAAATAGAAAACCAAGCCTCAATACTTCATTGTTGATCGCTCAAAAACTTTACCAGGGTCACAATGTCAGCTGACGAAGAAGGCATGTGTTCCGTCAATTGTTCCGATGTCACGTCACAAACAAAAGCATTGGCCCGACTGTCGGTATAGTCGCTGTGTGCCTAAGACCAAAAGGAGAGAAGTTCCTGTAGTGGACTGGAAAGAAACCAAAGTAGCCGAACCTTCACAATCTCAATCGCTCGAGGAGAGAAATCGCATCCATGCACAAATATGTGGGGGTACTCCGCCAGCAAAGGAAAAATCGTGTTGCCTACACCACAGCCAACCTACTAAAGAGTAATCGAGAATGGATGAAGTAAATCACTCCATACCTCAAGCACAACTCCAGCGCTAGAGGCATTCGGGGTACGCGATGAATTCTAGAAAGAAAAAAATGCCAAGAGAGTGAGAAAAAAAAAGGAGAACCTACGCACTAGAAACTTACCAAGTTCGTGAAATAGTTCCCCCATTCTTTGTCCAAGTAATGTCGATCCTTGAAAAACTATTGCCCTGTTAGCGAGAGGAGAAGAGAGAATCGAGAGAAAAGAGAGTCATTACTCTGTTCTCATTGCGCTTGTAGAACTTGTCCCAGTAGCGCATTGCCTCCCTTTCATACTTGTCTGCAAGAAATCGGACCGATTGATCACAGGACAATCGATCGAGCTGCCATAGATCCATACCTCGCCAGAACGCCGAGACGAGCTGCGACTTGGTGGGATAGATCTGCATCGCCAGACGCAGTGGCGCAGGCGCTGGCTCGCCCAAAATCCTGGACGAAAATGATAAACCCTAGCGGCCCTGGAAGGAGGAAATAAAAATGCTAGCTGGGGGAAGGAAATATGGAGAGACAAGCACCACGGATCATTCTCACTGGGCGGCTCTTCTTCGCGAATGCAAGAGCTTGCCCCAGGCGAAGAAGCTCCACGCCGAGATCATCGATCACGGGCTCTCTAGCAGCACCTATCTCGCCAATCTTCTCATCCAGCTCTATGGCCGATGCGGCAGCGTCGCCGATGCATCCAGCGTCTTCTCCTCCATGGCCGGGAATCGCAACATCTTCTCCTGGAACATCATGTTTACCGTGTTTGCCCAGCAAGGGGATCTTGGCCGCGCCAGGGATCTCTTCGATCGCATGCCCGATCGAAACGTCGTGTCCTGGAACGCGATGCTGGCGTGCTACGCGCAGTCGAGCCAGATCGCCCAGGCGGAGCTCCTCTTCCGCAAGATGCCGCAGAGGAGCCTCGCGTCTTGGAATTCGATGATCGCCGCCTATGCCCAGAACGATCTCCCGGAGGAGGCGCTGGAGATCTTCACGCGCATGGATCTCGAGGGGATTTCTCCGGACAAGATCACGTTCGTCAGCGCCGTGAATGCGTGCTCCAGCATGAAATCTCTCTACCACGGCAAGATCGCGCGGATGAAGATCCACGAATCGGGGCTGGAATCGGATGTTTCGGTGGGCAATGTTCTCATCACGATGTATGGGAGGTGTGGATCCATCCAGGACGCGAGAGATTGCTTTGACAAGATCAAGGATCCAAGCGTGGTCTCGTGGACAGCGCTCCTTACAGCATATGCCCAAAGGGGGGATTTGCAAGAGGCGGCTATGGTGTTCGATCGAATGCCAGTGAAGAACGAAGTCTCCTGGACCGCGATGATCACAGCGCACACCCAATTCGGCCACGCCCAGCAAGCGATCCTTCTCTTCCGGCGAATGGATCTCGACGGCGTCTATCCGGACGAGGTGACCGTGGTGAGCGCGATCGATGCTTGCGCCCATCAGGGCGATCTCGCCATGGGAATCGCGGTCCACAGCGATCTTGCGAGCAGCGGCGGGATCGAGATCGAGGATGCCGCGGTGGGGAATTCGCTGATCAATCTCTACGGCAAGTGTCGCATGGCGGAGGAAGCTCTGGAAGTCTTCCAATCCATGCGCTGCCGCAAGAACGTCGTCTCCTGGACCGCGATCGTCGCCGCGCTCGCCCAGAACAAGCGCCTGGATCAAGCCAGGGATCTCTTCAATCGGATGCCGATTCGGAACGTAGTCTCCTGGAACGCGATCATCACCGGCTACCTCGACGACGATCGCCCGCCCGACGCCATCGATCTCTACTACCGGATGCGCCAGGAGGGCGTGCCCGCGGATCGAGTGACATTCGTGGCGATGCTCGAGGCCGCCGCCTCCATCACGAATCTCGTCCTTGGCCGAGTCATCCATAGCCACACCCAAGAAGAAGGGATCGATGGGGATATTCTCGTCGGTACCGCGCTGCTAAGCATGTACGGCCGGTGTGGCTGCACGGAGATGGCCATCCGTACGTTCCACGGTATGCCGCCGCGGCACGACGTCGTCGTGTGGAGCGCGCTCATTGCCTCGTTTTCACACTGTGGAAATGGCGGGAAAGCACTGGAGGTGTTCCACGGCATGCTGCTCGACGGCATACTGCCCAACGGCGTCACGCTTGTTAGCGTGCTCTCCGCGTGTAGCCACATTGGCGCCGTGGAAAAGGGCTGGGGTTTCCTGGCGTCCATGAGCTCGGATTTTGGGATCCAACCCTCGGAGGATCACTTGGCCTGCGCTGTGGATCTGCTCGGCCGATCGGGGCGCCTGGCTGAGGCCGAGGAGTTTCTCCTCGATAAGGATGAAGAAGGGGGCGGCCGCGGCTGGAAATCGCTGCTCGGCTCCTGCCAGGGAGATGTCGGCCGCGCGTCACGAATCGCGGAGCTAGTCCTGAGGCTGGATCCGGTGGATTGCTCGTCGCACGTCACGATCTCCAACATTCTCGCGTCGGCATCGCCGGCTCTAGGGTTTAATCCAGGAGGAGGGAAAAACGTGGCAATCTTTTAGGGTTCTTGGTCAGATTTGCTGATGAGATTCCAAGCTTGGCGAGCTGGGAATTGATTCCAAAGCGCGGGGCGCATGATCGGAATGCCCCCCACTGCTCGCAAGTAAGTGCGTGTGTGCTGCCAATTCTCGATCTGTGTGTGATGACTCGCATCTATCATTCTTCTCCTGGCAGCGTGCTTGTCAAGCGAAATGAGTCGCTGCGCTTGATCATTGCGGCTTTTTGCGGGATTGTGGTGGGAGTCTTCGTCGGTGTCTCCTTCTCCAGGGTAATTCTCCATCTTGATCTCGCGAACTTTGACTCTGGCTCACAGCTTTCTCGTTTTCTTTCTTTTTCAGTCTGGCTTCTTTTTGTCCATGAGAACTCTGGTGGAGGAGTGTGGCCGGAAATCCTTGTTTTGCAAGGTAAGAGAGCGACTCTAGATCTATCACCATTTTCACCAGAGCTTGGTTTTTTTCTTCTTTTCCAGAACATCAAGCCTTCTGGTACAGAGACTCTACCGCCGGGAATTATAGTTCCACAGACGGATCTTTTGTTGCGAAGATTGTGGGGAGATCCAAATGAGGTACTGCGCTCCAGATCCTTTTTTTTTTCTCCTCCATGCATGCGTACCAGTTCCATCTGAGATAAAAGTAAACGAAGTTGCTTTACCTGCTTTTTTTTTTCTTTCTCTTTGTTGCAGGATATCGTCCACAGGCCCAAGTATCTACTGGCAGTAACAGTCGGTTTTGATCAGCGGGAGATGGTAAACAAAGCGGTCTCAAAAGTAAGCCTTGCTCGTTTCTTTCGTTCAATTAACTCATTCAGCGCTTGCAGTTTGACAAGGATTGGTTCGTCGTTCTCTTTCACTACGATGGACGAACTGATGGATGGGATCAGTACGAGTGGTCTCAGCGCGCTGTACATGTGAGCGTTAGGAAACAGACGAAATGGTAACTTTCTTCGGGTTAAAACTTGGCCCTGTCACATCCTGCTGTTGCTTTCTAGGTGGTATGCCAAACGATTCTTGCATCCGGATGTGGTTGCGCTGTTCGACTTCATATTTATATGGGATGAAGATCTGGACTTGGAACACTTCGATGCTCAGGAGTAAGCTAAAGAGCTACAAAGCTTGATCAATGGTTTGCTGTTTTTCTTTTCTGCAGATATGTAGACCTTGTGAGAAGATACCAACTAGAAATATCGCAGCCTGCCGTAGACGGGGTTTTGACTTGGCAAATGACAAAACGTAGGGGTGACGTTGAGGTTCACAAGTGCGTCTAATCCAAATCTGGATTGTGTAAAATCATTGCTTGATGTTTTTTGCTCGCAGGGACGCTGAGGAAAGGCCAGGATGGTGCGGAGACGGTCCGGAAAAGCCACCTTGTGCTGCGTAAGTCTTGGCTTTCACTTGGACATAGATTTCTATTTCTTAGTGTTGTTTCTGGCAGATTTGTGGAGATCATGGCTCCGGTGTTTTCCAGGAATGCTTGGAGATGCGTGTGGCATATGATACAAAACGATTTGGTACACGGTTGGGGCCTCGACTTCAATCTTCAGAAATGTGCACAGGTTAGTTCTAGTGTATTTGACTTCCAGGCTCTTACGTTTTCGTTTGTGGTTACATACAGCCGGCGCACGAGAAGATTGGAGTCGTAGATTCACAATGGATACGGCACAAGGGTGTGCCTTCTTTGGGATCTCAGGTAAAGAAGCTCAAATCTTCTCCTTAGTTCTTCAATCAAACTTTTGCTCCAGGGGCAAACGGTGCAAGGAGGCAAACCACCATGGCAAGGGGTATGGCCTTTAACTTCACTAGGACTGCTTTTAACAACGTGATTGCATTCGTAGGTGCGAGAGAGATGTAGGCTTGAGTGGAGAATTTTCACGGAGCGAATGAAAGATGCCGAGAGGAATGCCACTAATGACCTCCATCGCCATGGTATTTTCTAACTGGCTATCAAATTCTTTTCAGAGGCCACCAATTCTTTTGTTGGCAATTGTTCCCATAAATAAGTAAAACTAAAATTTAAAACTAAAGGTTATAACCTTATCATTTTCTTTAGGATTTATATTTTAAAAGATGTAATAATATTAAGTTTTAAATTTAATTAAGTATTAAAAAAATAGATGTGAGTGTAGAATATAAAAATGTGCACACAACATCCCTAATTTATATATAAGAGGGAATGGTTTAGATTGAAATCAATATAACAATTATCAAAATCTCATTATGCTAATATTAATATAAAGCATTGTATTTGTAAATTTGGACTTCACATCATCCCCTTATCTTGGAATGATGAAAAACAGTTAAGGTTTTATTGTGGATGAGCCAGAATCTGGAAGAATATTAGGAAAAGGCATTAATAGATTTGTAGATGATGCTATTTTTTCCTTATCTTTTTATATGAAGCATTTCAACTGTTACACATGCATAATTTGTAGAAGATTAGTTTGTTAGACATTATGCTAAGCTTTATAAGTTTACAGTCCAACTTGCTACAACACCTAATACAGTTTCTTCCCCTAAAAAAAGAACCCCTTAGACAAACCCCATATTGTAAAATTGGGAAAATGGACTAACATTAAATCATCCACTTTGTACTTTATAAGTGAACAATGATGGGAGTTGTTGTGATGTTGTTGTCCCACTATGTTCAATAAACTTTATTCGGATAAGTGAAAAAATCTCATCAAGTATTAATCCCAAGACTTAACATTGACAGTTCGTGACAATCGCAAAGGTAAATTCAACTCCATTAATAGTATTAGATTATGACTATGTATGAGTTTATATTATGAAGCACCAATAAAACTTTGCACCATTATAATATATGCATACCAAAGAGACGGCAAATAACCATCTCAATCCAAATACTAAAAGTTCACATACTTCACGATTATCCTTTTGAAAATGCAAATGAGTTATTTCACCAAACCATTTGATTGTGGATGATAAACACTCGTGAAAGTGTGGCATATCCCCAACCAAGACATCAAAACATGAAATGCCTCAACTATAAATGCGAGACCATTAGCCAAAAGAATTCACTCCAAATAAGAATGTTAAAACACGATTATGTTTACAACTGTTATTAAATACTTCTTCCTCAATCGAGTAACAAAAGCATTAACTTCCACTCAACAAGTTAAATAACCAAAAGCAATAATAACATATTCATTGCTAACAGTCGACCATGGAAAAGGCCTCATCATATCAAATGCCAACAACTCAAATGAATGGGAAATTATAAGTGACTCTAATTATCCTTCTGTAGCACAAAAGAGGAGTATTACGAGTTTAGCACCAAGTGCATCTACACATATACCGGATAACATTACATTGCATCTTTGGGTAATAAAAGGACTTATGTAACTTCTCAGTCACATGAAGATATCCCATATGTTTACCAAGAATAAGAGAATCATGGTAGGCATGAAGAAAGCATAAAATAAAGATTGAAAGTACCACCAGCCATAAATGATCATCAAGATTTATCCCTACAAAATAAAGAAAACTATTCACAAGGCGATATTGTAGCACACGTGGTTCTCACCCTTTATCTTATAGTGATTTACCATAGGATAATTATAAAGTGGAATTTAAACCCTCTATATGCCACATGTCTCAAGCCACATGCCATATGCCACATGTCCAAGGATAATGGAGTGAAACCTGAGTTTCAAAGTCTTGGGCTATTAAATGGAGTAGAGCCAAAACCTCAAGCTTACAAGGAACCAAAGCATGGAGTAACTCATGTGCACTCAACTCAAGCAGTGAAGGGACAAAAGCATAAGATAATATAAAAACAGTCTTAGAGCATTTAACATCTTAATGCCAAAACTAACACATAAAATAGAGCCAAATGAAATCTAATGCTATTTCAACATACTGGTGGCTTAATACAAGGATATGGATACTCTACTAGCTAGCATAGTATGGAATTTGGGTTTACACCCAAGTTGAACACAAAACAAGAATAGACACATAAAGTGGGAGTTAAATTATGCCTCAAGTTGGTCAACTATGCCTGACTTATGCATTATCTTTATTATACATCTGAAACCCCCCATAGCTCCCATGGAGGAATACACACTTTAGACTTTCACCCTTAGTACCAAAAGTTAGGATATATTTAAAACTTATTAAATATGAATTATGAATTTAAATATGGAACCAATACCATTATAGTTAGGAGAGAAACACATAGGAGTTCCTACTTTATGTTCATCTTATTAAGTATAGATCCTAAAACCAATTTATTAACACTGAGGTCATAAAAGGAATCAACAATACTAACCTTCTACCGTTATGATAATAAGGAAAGAATATCTGAAATGATTAGCTAACAAGTAATTTTTGATACCCATAGTCACATTCGCAATAGATATTGAAAATGTAAATGCCAAAATGACAATTCATCAATAGTGATATAAAATTCTTAAACCTATTGCAAAGCCTTTGAACCCACAATCCAATCTTTTAAGCCTCACGAACCTCATCAAGAGAAGGTAAATCTTGACACTGAACATCAAATACAATACCTGCCAATAGCACGGAATTATAATCCAAAAAATCTATAAATGCTAGAATAATAGGCTCGTTAGAAACATGAAAAAATAGTAAAGAAGGAAGAGGAGCTTAAGAAAAAGCATTAGCATCATATATAGAATTCTCTGAATGATGAATAACATCAAAATCATATATATATAAAGTTTTAAAACCTACCAAGTAGTATAACCAACTAAGTTCTTCCACTTTAATAATGAAGTAATTGCAACATAATCACCTTTTAGTAATATCTGAGAACCATATAGATATGCATGAAGTTTCTCAAAGCCCCAAATTGCTATTAAACACTCATTCTTTGTTGTGGAGTAGTTCATCTCCATTGCTTGTAATGTACAGTTGATATATACAATGGGATAGCGCTGATTAAGCACACTCGGGCTTTTTTGCATTAACATACCTTTAAGACCAATATCAAAAGCATCCACATAGAAAATAAAAGGCTGAGTGTAGTTAAGATATGGCAAAATTGGAGGAATCGTCAATAGATTTTTGAGATTTATAAATACCTGCTCATAGTCCACAAATTAAATGAAAGACAACGTTAATGATTTTAGCAACACTTGCAACAGTGCAATGCAATTAGAAAAATGATTAACAAAATGACCAAGATATTACACCTTGCCTAGAAAGTGTTGCACATCATTCACACACTTCTGAATAGAGCACTTAAGAACAGCCACAAGTTTGTTAGGATCAACTTACAAACCCTCATAAGAAATACAATACCTAAAATAAGTCATTTCCTTGGACCCAAATATGCACTTCGATTACTTCAACTTTAAACCAACTTCCCATAACCAATCCAACACTTTATGAACTTCACAGATGTGTTTCTCCCACACCCCCTCTGAGTGGATCAAGGCATCATTGATGAAGTTAACAGTCACTTTTGGCATATTATAAAGAATTTCATCCATCATCTATTAAAAAGTTGCTGGAACATTGTTCAAACCAAATGGCATCACCATAATTTATATAGACCAAACAATATATGAAAAACAGTTTTAAGAATATCTCCTTTAGCCATTGGCACTTACTAATACCCATAAGTAAGATCTCCTCCGATGATCCAAGATATCAGCAGTGTGAGGAAGAGGGTATATATTTGAGATCATCACTTTGTTTAATGGATGATAATTAATGTAGAAACA